CGGCCTGGCCTCTGCTTATATTGCTGCCATTTGACCTAGATGATTCATGGATGGATGGTGCAGCTTTTTTTTTTTTTTTTACACCTCTAAATCCATCCATCCATCTATTCCATCAGTCTTTCTTCTTCCACTCAATCTCACCATATCCCTAGCATCCGCCTCTATGACAGCAACCCTCATGTCCTCCTTCAGGATATCCATAAACCTTGTTTGTGGTTTCTCTCTTTTCCTCCTGCCTGGCAGCTCTGTCTTCGACATGCTTTGTCCAGTATGTCCACTACCCTCTGCACATGTCCAAACCATCTAAGCTTTGGCTCTGTATCTTTCTCTCCAAGCCTCTTAACCTGACTTGTCCTTTTTGATATACTAATTTCTAATCTTGTCTGTTTGGTCCCAATAAAACTCTTAACATCTTCAGGTCCACCAGTTCCAGCTCAGCCTCCGGTCTTTTTGTTGGTGCCACCATCTCTGAACTGTACATCATAGCAGGTCTCCCTACCATGTTTTAGACCTTCCCTTTCACTCTTCTGCTATCCTTCTGTCACAAATCTGCCAATGTTCATCTACACCAAATCCACCCTGCTTGAACTCTCTTCTTCACCTCTCTTTGCAGACTCATCTACACATCTACCTTCTTTGCAGCTTGCTATGCTGATCTCTCTCATTCTGTCCACCTCTCCAGGCTCTCTTCCGTCTGCTCACTACTCTTATTACAGATTCCAGTGATGTGTGCAAAAACATCATAGTCCATGGAGACTCAGACTGCAAAGGAGTGGATCCATGATGTAATCCCACTACCACCTTGAACCCACCTGTCACTCCTGCTGCACATCTCAATACTGTCACACACTCATACTCTTGCATACTTCTCTGCCGCTCCTGGCTTCTTCATGCGGTATCACAGTTCCACTCGTGGTACCTTATCATTTACTTTGTCTAAAACAACAAAGGAACAGTGTAACAGGGATAGCATATCACCCTTGTTCTTGAAAGTCGATACCAGTAAATTTCTTCTTTATTTCTCAGGCATCTTCTCACTCTACCAGATTCTGTTAAACCATCTTGTTCAAAAGACCACTGCCCTCTCTCCTAGACATCTCCATATTTCTACAGGTATGTCAGCTCGAACGACCATCTTTCCAATCTTCATCATCGTCATAGTTCACTAACTGTCCTCCATCTGTTTACTCTCTCTCTCTCATTTCTTCATTCATCACCTCCTCAAAGTACTCGCTCCATTTTCTCATCATGCTCCCCTCTTGTTAGTGAGGGAGACTTACTGCACAAGTAGACTTCTATATAAGTCAGTTTCTTCCTTCCTTAAATCCTTTCCTCCTTCCCCACAGGAGACAAGAGATAATTATTTTAGTAGTTTTTTGTTGATTTGATTCTTTTTTCCAAATACTTCCCCTATGACTGAGCACACTGAAAACTCCATGTTTCAGTGTGGGTTGTAGCAGTTAATATTTAACTACTTTCCTACTTGCCCAATTTGCATGTATATGTCAGCGGAGGTTTTGACTGGAATCGTGGATTAAGTGAGTAAGCCTCATTTTAATATGAATGTTCTAAATACATACATAGTAGGTATACTGTTAGCTGTGATCATGGATACTTGCTACATTAGTCTTCAGTGTTGGGAAAACAATATCAATACTGCATCAGTATTTTATAAACCTTCTCAGACTTTGCACTCTGTATTGCTAATAGCATAGCGAAATAATTACAGTAAATGTGACAGATATAATCTCCCCAGAAGCACATGGGGTGTGCACCATGTTAAAAGATTAAAAGAGAACAAATCGTGTAACACTTAAAAAGTCTGCCTTTATGGTCACCACACCTGGATAACTTGATCATGCTTTGTAGTACAGCTCTTATGATCCCAATATGACTGTGAACACTAGATCTTTTCTCTTGGTGGTCAGTCTCCTTACTGGGTCTGGTGTGGCACTGTTTGTTTTTTATGAAAGGAAAAATCCCTTCATTTGTCACTCATCTAGAGTATCACAATTGGTGGTGTACCCAGAAAGGGAAATTTCACCATCTTTGAAACATAAAATTGATTCCATTTGTGGGAGTTGCTGATCCGACCTTTACACAAAACATATTTTTCTTCTTTGCCTGGAAAGACACTTATAGGCGATGTTGGCACCTGTCGTAAGCTTTGTTTACGGTTCAGAAAACCCCATGTTTTTTTATCCAAGAAAGCATTTATTAACAGTATATTTTAAAGTATGCTGATCATATTGAATGAATAAGAATAAAGCGCAATTCAGTAGTTATGACTCATCATCTTGAGTGGTTGTGTTTTTTGTTTTTCTTGTTTTTGTTTTTGTGCTTGACCAAAGCTTTTTCTAGTGGTTGAACCCACAGGGTCTGCAGGACTTTTTTTTCACAGGTGTGAAGTTCATCTTGGTTAAAACAGATGAGTGAGTGAGTTTGTTTTGCTGAAATCCCCCTTTATCATCTGGGAAGTCCATGTTTGTAGCGGGGACACCTGTTTTAAAAAAAACATGTTCACTTATGTCATTGTGAGAGTTTTTAGTGGCCTGCCAGGTTGCTGCATGATCTTTGAAGTCTGTGGTATTCTTCTCATATGTTTTCACACATGGTTTTACCACATTTGCAAACTCTATAAATCCACCTGTTCATAACATTCAAAAACATTGGTGAAAAATTCAGAAAGAACAAGGTTACTCGCATGTATTACTTGGATTTTACTTGTAAAAATTCACCCTTTTTAAAGCTGCGTAAGTTTGATGTTATGTTAAACACTATATGAGCATAAATTTGTACATTTATGATATTCTCTAAAAGATTTCATTAGGTTTGAACAGCAAACACTGGATTTTTATGTGTTCAAGTCTTTTTGAAAGTCTTAATACACTTTAATATATATTTAACACTTGCCAATATACTGCCCTCTGGTGGTGGGTAGGTTCTTCATCTTTGCTCCTCAAGAATTACAATCCTACCCTACCATTAGTACAGGGGTGTCAAACTCCAGGCCTCAATGTCTGGTGTCCTGCAGATTTTAGATCTCATCCTGGGTCAACACACCTGAATCAAATGATTAGTTCATTAACAGGCTTTTGGACAACTTCAAGACATGTTGAGGAGGCAATTCAGCCCTTTAAATCAGCTGTGTTGGATCAAAGCACATCTAAAGCCTGCAGAACACCAGCCCTCAAAGCCTGGACTTCGACACCTGTGTTTTTGTATATCCTAGTCGGAACTGCTATTTCAGCGACCTATTAATGGTAAAAGGCTGTTTCATTTCATAACTTAACATTAAAGTTTTAATGGGAACGACTGATTCTCCATCCAAGCAATATTTGATTACACATGCCATAAGACAATTATTAGACAATTATTACTTAGAATCAGTGCTGGTATTTTTGATTATAGTAATATCTGGTTATTTTTTTACTATAGTTTTACGGTTACTGGTTACAGTGGTTAGCACTGTTGCCTTACGGCAAGAGGGTCATTGGTTTAGGTCCACCATCTTGCCTGGTTTACTTATCACACTTTGATGACTTCACATGTAACATACTTTTACATATACATTTACAGTTCCACAACAACAAATAGATTGCCCCTTTATTTCAGAGGTTCAAGAAAATTGGAAAAATTAGATAACTGAAAATAAAATGTTCATTTCTAACACTTGGTTGAAAACACTTTGCTCACTCAATGACAGCCTGAAGTAATGAACTCATGGGCATCACCAGATGCTGTTTTGTTTTTATTTTTTGTTTTTTAATGCTCTCTTCTTCTTTTTCTTTTTAAGCAAGCTTCACTCTAGCCTTTCTATTCTTGAGGCTTATGAGTGGCTTGCACCTTGAAGTGAACCCTCTGTATTTACATTCATGTAGCCTTCTCTTTATGAGGATATCGATACTCATACCTCCTGGAGAGGGTTGTTTGCTTGGTTGGCTGTTGTGAAGGGGTTTCTCCTCACCATGGAAATTATTCTGTGATCATCCACCACTGTTGTCTTCCGTAGACTTTCAGGTCTTTTTCCGTTGGTGCGTTCACCGATGCTTTCTTTCTTTCTCAGAATTTACCAAACGGTAGATTTTGCCACTCCCAGTATTGTAGCAATTTCTCAGATAGCTTTTTTTCTTTTTTCACAGCTTAAGGATGACTTGTTTCACCTGCACAGAGAGCTCCTTTGACCACATGTTGTCTGTTTACAGCAAAATCTTCCAAATACGCCTCAAATCAACTCCAGGCTTTATATCTGCTTAATTAATAATGACATAATGAAAAAATTGCCCCCACCTGCCCATGAAATAGCCTTTGCATCAACTCTACATTTATTTTTGGACATTTTAAAAAGGGGATGGCTACATATTAAGGATCTGGAACTCCTAAGCCTTTCATCCAATTTGAATGTGGATACCCTGAAACAAAAGCTGAGAGTCTACAGAGTATGTCCATGTCCATTATGTAACTATAATTGGAATATGTTTCAGTAAACAGGTAAAAATAACTAAACTTATGTCAGTGTCCAAATAGATATGTCATAACTGTATCTTCAGTAAACATTAGTCACATCTCTAACCCAGTTTTGAGATCCCTTCCCGGACACCTTAACGCCCACTCACACCTCTGCCATTTGACCTCAAGGAAATCACATGATAGGGTGGGGCCAGGTTTCACAATGAGCTCACCCGAAACCCTGGCTGATTGTGACCCACACCTGTTTTCACACCTTGGCTCATGTGATTAGGTACAGGATCATCAGGGGGTCCTTTTGTCCCTCTTTTGGGGGGAAACTCCCACTGGGTTTAAATCTGGGACTCTCCACCATGTGACCTTAGAACTGAAGAAGCTTCTCGGATGAGAGGTGAAACGTCTTCAAGCAACTTAAAGAAGTCCAGACGCTTTTCTTTGCAAGCTCCTTAGAAAACATTAGTCACACTGTGCCACTAGAAGCTATGCATGTCTACACATGGCATTGCCTTCATTGTGCTTTACAGGTTACGTAATGTAATTTGGATCATGAGCACTACTCTTTTTATCTTCCTGCTGATCTTAGTTTCATGTCTACACACCTTTTATTTTTAGCTTTTTCTGTTCAGCTTGTCTGGCCAAAGGTGCTCAGTGGTCACCCAATGGGTCTCAGAGCCATGGTTCTTGTGTTGTCATGGGCACTTTTTCATTTTCACAAGATTTGCTTCCACTCCTAGAGTATTGCTCAGAGTTTTATGAAACTAGTATGGTTTGAACCTTGAAGAAGCCTGTGCAAGCCTCTGCTCTCTTGTACACAGTCTTGTCCAGAAGGTGTCGTTCTTTATCATGGAAAGAGTTTGTGATCATCCATCACTGTTGTCTTCCATGAACACCCAGGACAACCTATTCATTTTACCAATTCTCTCTTCTTCAGAGATATATTGATTTAGCTACTCCTAGTGTTCCAGCTGTCTTTTTGGATATAGCTGCAAGTGTGTCAAAGCTTGTTTGATCACATGTTGTTGTTTTACAGCTTCTGAATGCAAATGCAACGCTTGGATTAAACTTAAGCTCCTGGAAAATGTATCTTTACATTTCAGGAAGTGCCTCCAGAACCATGTCAGGTCAAAACATAGTAAATGGACTGGTTCTTTTATTTGTGATTTTCTACTCTACTCGAGCACTCAAAGCACTTTGAACAACATGCCTCGTTAACCCATTCACATCCCGTCATACGAGCACAAAAAACAACCAAAAAACATGGATAACATCAACACAATTTCTCTTCACTTTCTGTGAATTTCATTTATATTTATTTTTCTCAGTTAGTCCAGCACGTATAAAAAAGTAATTCTAAAAACTTGTAATTGGTATCAAACATTTAAACAATAAATATCTAAACATATAAACTATATCATAAATACAGTTTGATAGCACAGTTAGACACTGTCTTTATTAATATCAACCTGCCTTTTATATGAAGTTGACAAGAGAAAGTTACGACTTGTTAACTATACAATGGACTACTGCCAGAATGAAAAAAATGCCCATTTGCTAAAAAATAAATAAATTAAAAAAAATAGAACACTTGTCTTTCAGTTCCTGCTACAAGCAGAGAATCTGTCCTTCATATAAACTAGGCACATCAAATAATATATGGTAATTAATTTGATATTTTCAGATGGTACAGTTGTTTTACAAAATAATTTATGTACTAAGGAAATTCATACACAGTATAAATGTCATTATTAAACTATTCTTTGAGAACTACAAAATGAATGAATAAATTAATTTTCCCTCTCACTGACTGAGGGTACGAAGTCCACAAGGTGGCAGCAGAGCAGCTTTCCTGATAGCTTGAGTGAGTTAACCACTTCAATATAAATAAATAATAAATAAGTTAAATATTTATCAGGCTGTAAGACGCAATCTTCGACGTGCTTGGCCCTTTACAAAGTAGTGTCTTCTCTAAAGTTGCTAATGGATCTTCAGCTCATCTCAGTTGATTCTGCTTAGACCCTAAAAATGGATGAAAATAAATACTTAATTTGCTGTACAAGCATCAATACATTTATGATCATATTAAAGAGTATAGCCTTTTTATGTTAAGCTTACTGTAAAAACAAAATGGTCTAGTATTTTATGTATAGCTTTCTGAAATATATCTGAAATAGCCTTACCCTTTGAACCAGAGACTCCAGTCTGTTGAAAAACTCTGATGCTTTTTCCTTAGGATGTGAGTGGCAGGTTGAGCAGTTGGTCTAAAAAGAAACAAAGAAGAAAGGAGTTTATTTAAATGGTTGTTCACTACAAGAGTCTGTGTACAGACTGAAAAAACAATAGTCACAATCAAGAAAAAAAAGCAATGCTCACTAATTTTTACTTACCGTAGAAGTTTCTGTGTTACAAAAGTTCAGTCCACTGATCTGCAATGATTGAAAGAAATATGCCAGTTTTAGAAATGCAGTGTACTAAAATGTTGACATTAGTCTTTAGAATAGGACTTAAGGTATATTATTATGTGAGTCCCACCCCAAACAATGTACTTACAGTAAGGGTATGATTAAGACTCTTGTAAAGTTTTTTCTGATATTTTCCACTTATGCCAAAATGTTGAAGCAGAGTCTCCCGAAAGCAAGTTAAGGCTGTCAGACAACAGCAGTCCTGTTACGAAAAGAAAAAGAAATGATGGTAAATATGACATCATGCTTATCCCAGCTTACACACACACATATATATATATATGTCAGGGTTCCGGTTGGTCTTTTTAAATACATTTGCTTTTTTAAATGAGATATATCACACGGAGCACCATACAAAGGGAACACAACAGCTTGCATGCACAGTTCTACTTCATTTACAGTTGGCTATGAAAATGAGTTTTCTTTGTTTCAATGTAAGGAAAAATATTGTTCCAAGAAAGCTATTGTTTGTAGTTTCATTTCATGACTTCATTGTAGTTGACTTTCCAATCTGATGCACACAAAAACATTTTTATATAAAATGAAACTGAACCAAACAGAGTTTCCACTATTTCAATGATAACTTTCTGTTAAGTGAAAGAGGGGTTTTTTTTGTTTTTTTTTTTGTATGAATTGTTTCCCTCCAAAAATCTGGATGAAAATGCTGATGGTACAATGCAATTTTTCCCATGTGAAACACTTGTTTCTGTTTAGATACTCATTTTCCAGTGTGGTGTGACACCCGTGAACTCAGCCAGCTTGGGTCAAAGTTTTTTTGAGTATTTTATATCTGCCTAGCGAATTAGCCGTAATTTGTTTTGCTGCATTTAAAAATCAGAAATTCTGCTACAGTTATTGTTAAATCTTATCATTATTGCTACGGTTTAGTGTTGTGATCTCATTTTGAAACCATAATCTTTGTTTTGCAAAGCAAGATCAGATGCTTGGCAATCCTCATCATTCGCGGTGTGAGATAAACTGTTATTTGCAAGATGTTAAACAGAATATTGACTCAAAAGTTTTCTAGCATTCTGTCAAATGCTCAGTTTGAGAGGTGGCGTGAGGAAGTGTAATGGTTTTGTCTGCTCTCTGCTTGATTACTCATCACATTTCACTCAAAGGAAGCTGTGAGAAAATGAAAAAAATCCACTGAGCACACTCTTGAGTTGACTCACTGAATGAAAATGAATAAGCCTGACAAGAAAGAAGGCTGATTAGAATTTACTAGTAATGCAGTGCATCTTAATAAACATTTACAAGTCTAGTTATATAAAGGGTACATAATGAGACTATGTAGGATTTGACCACAAGAGCATTGCAAAACTTTACAAAATGTTTTTAGGTTTCATTGCTAAGATGTGCTATAGAGCCTTTAAAGTAAATATTGTCATTTCTATTTATAAATATTGAAATATATATGGCCTTTTTGAGGATTTCACCTTAGTCAAATCAACTCAGAAAAACAAAAATGCATGGTTTCATAGTGCAAGGTTTTAATAAATATTCTGTATAATAGTCGTATTTTTGTTTCTAATTAAACTAAGAAATGTATAATGTAGTTTTAATCCTGTCTAACACTTAATTATGTGGATTTTATTTTTGCTAAATTAAATTTTAAATGCTTACATTTTACTTTGTAAACGTTTTATGACAGTTCCTCTGCTACTTAATATGACAGTCATTTATTTTTAAGTATTGTGATCAAAGAGTAGATGCGAAATTTAAATCTGGACCTTTAGCCTTTAAGTTTCGAGTTTTACAGCTGCTTATCACCCTGCACATTTTGGTATTTCACACATCATTTGATGTACTCCTACAGTACCCGGCGCCTGACAAACTAACTACAGTAAGTGGGAGCATAACAACAATGAGTAAGCAACCACCAATATTTATCGTAGTGGTGACCATACGGTCTGCATTATTTTAGATTAAAGTAGTTTTGCTTACCTCAATATCCTTTGGTGGAGTATTCATCATGAGTTCTGTGTTCTGCAAAAGGAAGTCAAAAAAGATTGCATTAGGTAATGAAAGTTAGTTTGCTAGAAAGCAAGTTGTGAAATGCAGTTAAAGCAGTTAAAAAGTTGATGTAGATGAACTAACCGGAATGTCGCGTTTGAGCATTTTCAGCTCTCTAAGGACTTCTTGTAGTTTTTTGCGCTCCATTGGATATGATGCTTTGACCAAAGAGCAACAGTAGATTGTGAAAAGGCAAAAAACAATCAGCTTCATATTGTTAAGTGTCAGCAGCAGGCACCGATTCACCAAAAGACGCTTTACCCAAGTTTTACTGGAAATGCAGATACTTGTGTCGCTTACCTTTTTATACTTATCCCTGAGGACACAGGAAAACCACTTTTACAGAGTTGGAAAACTGCAGAAACTAGTGTGTGAGTAATGAAATTTTCTTTTCCACTGGCAGTCACCACTACGTGATCCGAAACTGGCGTCAAGCCGCGCGTGCGTGGGGCCTATAGATACTAGTGTGTGAATGTAAACTCGTTTGAGTGCACCCGACTCACCCGGAAACTAGAGGAACGGCGACGACACTTCCCATTTTCACTTTGAATCAGTGGAGCCACAGCTTGTACCGTGTCATAGGTATTCTTTGTAGGTGTGGTATTGACAACCTGAATGCATTCACTGCATTGTGGCCACCTACACGGACAAATATCTTCGGCAACAACAGGAAACCCTTTGTAAGAGTTAATGTTTTACCAAAGAGACATGAAAAAAAACCCAAAAAAACATCTGTGTGTGTGTGTGTGTGTGCGTGTGTGTGTGTACACACACACACACACACACACACACGCGTGCATATATATGTGTGTGTGTATATATATATGTTGTATTTTCATAGTGCATAAGGAAGTAAGCTAATATTGGAGTAACATTTGCTGAGTAGTTCTTTATGCTGCTGTTTCACTCTTTTGTCTCTTACACATTTCTTTGTCCACTTGCAAGATCAAGGAAACGTACAGCGGCTTAAGAGGGTCTGCTTATGAAATGCCTTGAAACAGTTGCATGTGTCATTATGGAGCGGGCTGACAGCGTCACGTCATTTCAAAAGGATGACACATGCTGTTACAGACTCACAGATTAATGATGGTCTGCAGGGGGAAAAAAAGAGGTTTTCTAAAGAAATGTTGTCATTATGTTGTAATTACATTGTAATTATTTGATAATCAACTATTTTTGTAGGTGAGGCGGTTAGGCATCTGGTCGTTCCTAGGTGTTCATTATTATCAGTAACTCTCAAGGCACATCCAAAACTGGTTGAAAAGATTGTGTCTGTTCTTTCTTCAAATAACTCAACAGCTTAGTTGCTGCCACTTTTGGTGAGCAACAGATCAACAGTTCAGTTTTATCCATATGTGTATATATAGTAAAATGCATATATTAAAAAAAAATATTACAACAGCTATGAGGAGTATAGGTAATTGCTATTGGATTGCCTGTCTTTTCTTTTGTGTTTTTGTTAGTTCAAATTAATATATTTTTTTTGTACTAAAAATACACATGTAAGAAAATTGCAATGAAAAATGAAGATTCTCCAAGGATAAGCAACACCACATATTACTTATATTTAGTTTTTTTATTGTCACATGTGTAAAAACTGAATAGCTTGTAAAAGTGATTGAATAAACACTCGATTCTGGTTAACTTAAACAAGATGTTTATGAATGCCGAATTAAGGGTTAAAATTAGTATTTTCTTTCACTTTCAGGTTTATTGTCTGTAGTTTAACTCGCACTGGCACGAAAGCACTTCTGTATATTGGGAATTTTTGTATGTTTTGCTTATGTCAAACACATTATGTCAGTCATCTGATGCATTGGTTCACCACAGTGAGAGAAAACAGCAGTCATATTTCTCACTTTTATTTGTAGAAGTTGCATAGGTCTGTATAACCTTCTACTTCAGAAAGATTGATAAAGCCCGTGCTCAGCTTTGCTTGACTTGACTGTTGACTGTTTGTCAGGAATTATCATTGATTGCATTGTTTGTATGGTTGTGTTTGTGTTGTGCTGACATGATGTTAGACATGTCAATCATCATCACTGGGATGCAGTTTAAAAAATAAAAGCTTTACACACCTTTGCCTCTGTATCATTTCATGCTCTGTTGCCACTTTGACCACATTGTTTTGTCCATCACAGTCACAAACTTGGTATTAAAGTAACATTGTCACCATGTTGGCTGCATGAAACAACATGCAACTTTCTATTAATATTGCATAATTAAGCACCCATGCTATTGGATTTTCATGGCACTGTCCTCATGAATTCTCCTTCATATTTTTAACTTTCTAAATAATTTGGTCAAGAGAAAGAGTTTTCCTTTTTTGACTCCTGACACACTGTTTTTAATGAGAAAGGATGAGGAGATGTGAAATTTTGACAATCTGAATTATATCCCATATTATATCTCATTGTCCGTGAGTTCAATTGAATGTCAATGCCAAATGTACATAAAGTCTCCTTTATGCTTTCACTGAAATGGGACTTTTCATTGGGCAGTTTTAAAAGATAATGACTAAAATCTGCTTCTGAGGTCATTGTGTTTAAAAGACAAAGACATATAGTCGATGAGCTCAATTTTTATTACAATAGATTGTTGTTGTTGTTTATTATTATTATTATTATTATGACAACCAATCTTTAATCACAGTTATATTTTAGCCATAGGAAACCTTTTATGGAAATATCACTGAATATTTAATGATGGTCATCTACTCCACTTCACAACTTACACATTTTGGAATTTCAGATTGTATCATAGGTTAGTCAGTATGTCCATGTTCATGCTACCTCAGTCTTTCTGCCCCGTCAGTGGTAGTGCACAAGTTCTCTCCATACACACAATCTTTACAACAATCTACGGCAACCAGAAGAGAGGAAGTGAGAGTGAAAGAGAAAACCCCTCTCGTCTGTTTTCTCTCTTCGTCAGCGTAAGGGAACAGGTGGGTGGGGGCTCCGACTGGTCTAAGAGGTGCATCACCCTCAGCGTCTTATCAGGAGTACCTTCTGTAGTGCGCACACAGAAAGGAAAAAGTGTCCTCAGGTAGATTCAAAATTCAAAAGAATTTCCTCATCTGGCCACCACCAGAGAATCCCTCCTAACCCACCTGTGGTGTGCTGGTTTGTGCTTTTACGTCTAAAAGTCTTACAAAGCAGCGTTGTTGACATGAGGAATTCATAAAACCTTTCCTCCCCCATTATAGAGATTAGTGGAGGAGATAAGGGACAATGCCCTTATCATTAAAGAAATGCAGTGGAAATAAAGGTGCAAGATTGTTCAAGGTGTTACATAAGCATAAGGATGTATCATTTACATTTCATAGCTCTTAGCTTCTTTTTCCAGTTGCAGGTCCAACAACGGTCTCTGTGCATCATTTTCCCCATTTTTTTTGTCAAATAGCTTATTTAAGTTGTAAAAAAAACCTCCAAAATGTTTATTAGTGATTAAATAATAAACCAGTAATAGGAAAGTCCTCTCAAGAAGTGAAAATCTACCTCATTTTTACTTTACGTTTTTACATTAATACTTTATCTGGATCAATGTCATACGTATTAATTGATTCACCAGTTTTCAATTCCAATCAGAAACAATCTTAAAAAAATACCTCTTAAAAATTAAAAGTTGTGTTTAGTCATTCTGATTAAACAGACAGTCAGGGAGAAAAAAGCTGTTACATATTATTCATTACAAATATGAGTAAATTAAAGACAAACAGAAGAAATTACCCAGTGCAATTCTATTATTTTTGTATCTAATGCATGTAAAATGGTAAATGTGGTGATGTCGTCTAACAAAAATGAAGGCCCCAGTTTGAGACCGACTATCCCCCTGCAAGCTCACTTTAAACGGTTATTCTGGCAGTTAAGTCTGCTGGGCTAGAAGCCAGTTTTTTCAGTTTAACCAGGATATCCATGCAACAGATATCCTGTTCAACACTTCCTTTCTGCATACTGGTTAAAAGCTAATAGAAAACTAGTCAGACTACAGCCAGTGGTTTCAAATTATTGTTCCTTTTTTTGGTTCCCACATGCATCTATTACCTACATGGCCATTTGATCTCACACTACAAGTACACCACAAAACCTTGGATGACAAAAATATTGGCATTTGTGTATCGGTTGATAATGAAATTAAGACAACTTGTTTCCTGGTACAACGTACTTGTTATGCCCACTTGAACCAATAAAAGAGTAGCGTAGGGAATAGTCTGGGGAATTTACAGCTAATTAATGGTCATCGATTAAATGTAATTTTATTTATATAGCACCAAGTCACAATAGCAACTTTATATTGTAAGATAAGGACGCTACAGTAATACAGGAAAAAAACCCAACATTAAGACAACACACTATGAGCAAGCAATTGGCAAAAGTTGATGCATAACAATAGACATCTAGCTTTCAACCTGACCAGATTCTCACAAAATTGTATGTGTGAGGGAAACTTTGAAATTCTACTTTGTCTTCTGAGGCACCTCACCAATACAGCAGAGGCACTGCACTTAAATTTAAAGCATCACAAGAGTTAGTTGGATTAGTTGTACTGTAGTTACTCATTCAAACTGACATAAAACTAACATTAATTGATCTATGCGACTATGAAAAAAGGCCATCAATTAAAACTTCTCTTAAACGTAGTGGCTTAGTTGAAAGTGAAATGTTATCGTCAGATATCTAGAACTAACATCTCAAGCTTTTTCCAGGGAACTTTGCAAAACAATGCTCTACTGACACATGTTTTTTCAATGATGACTAACAGTCTTGGTCAGACGTGACATGCCACACTGAGAAATGTTCTTTGTGGTCAGCCAGAGTGTTAAACACAGTGACAAAAAAGTGCGGCTTGTTTCAAGTCGCGCTTTGTCTTCAACGACGTAGCCGAATGTCAACAAGAGCATACAGAGCAGCATACGTATTTACCTTGGTGCAGTAATCACATCTCACTAATGGATACAAAGCTCTTAAAATTACATTAGTTTATTGTTATTAATATAACAATAGTTAGAATGTCTTGGTATTGATAGGTAAGTTGGATTAACGTCACTTTAGTGTAAACTGACATTGAGAACTTGAGATGTCACATAATGAATAAATATTTTAATCTGTGTTACTTAAATGACATCATATTAGGAGACTGATTTAACAGTTGTATCTGCAATGCATTAGATGTGTGTACAAGTTATGCTTATGTGCCTTTTCTTACTTTACACTGAAAATAAAGAATAAATAACATTTGTTGTATTTTTTTCTTTTACAGTTTATTGAAGTTGGTTAAGAGTAGACCCCCGTTCATTTTTCTAAATACCATTTTTGCCACGAGTTATCAGTGTGAGGTGACCTAAAACCAGATGTCAATCAAAAGTAAATGTTTGATTTTTTTGTCAACAAATGATTTGTCTATTTTTCTGCTACTGTATTTCATTATTACGTAGCTCGGCCACAGTTGTTGCTCATCAGTATCATAATTTGTTTTTGTTTTGACTTGATATTGCTTGCTCAAACCGTAAATGACAGCTTTGTTTTGTTTTTGTTTATTGCACGTGTACCTCTTCTTATGCATACAATAAATAAAATACGTGTCTAATACGTGCTCTTCTAATGTGAATTCATCTAATTATGGTTTCAGTATGGGTGGCATGGCCTAAAAACAAAATGTAAGATGTGTTCTTTGTCTCTTCAGGGAGTTTAAATGAAAGTTAAAAGGATCTTCATGAATTCACCATGTGTTTGCACTTCAAGCATTTGACACTGTGAGGCAGATTTATTTACTTCTTCTTGATAATGTAGTTGACTTCCTACTCCCACTTGCAGTAGTATGATTTCCTACACTGTGGTCTCCCCTTTGTGAACAGTTTGCATTGCCGTGGTGCGGAGAGAGTAGGCGCAAGGTTGAAAGTTTGCATGAAACACACGCATCTTGGCATTTTTTTAAGTAAGTGTGTATGTTTTTTAATTAAAATGCTGACTGAGAGAAACATGATGACTTTTTTTGTTTTAGATGCAAGGACAAATGAAGGAGATTATCAATGATTATGAAATGTGAGCATGCTCATTACCGTAAGTGTACAGGAAGATACAAAGCTGCCGTGGGTGGGGGATTGCCTCTTCTGGTCTTGTTCATTGCTATGACAAAAGGGATGACACAGCTTGTTTACAAGGCTTGTTTATATTGTTTATTGTTCAGAGTCATCATTAGTGCATTCAAAGATGATACCAGCTGCTATTTGTAATATCAAAATGTAGATTTCGGCTCCTGTTGACACTGTCATCGGGTAAATAAGCAATCACAGATGAAGTTTGATAAATGAAGCATAACGAAACAAGCTTACAAGGCCAGTGGTAAATCAGCAAGCCGGAATTTACCATCGGCAAGATGCTGATGAAATTAGCCTGCAGCGCATTAGAGTTTAGTATGGTAACCCACAAAGTTGATTGGAAGTTTTCTCGTATAAAATGTGAGGAATTTCATATATTGATTCCAGTAGACAGGAAAGCTAAACTATTTTTCTTTTTCCTTCTGAGTGTGACCAGATCGCACAAAAAGTGCTCAATACAGTGACTTATCTGATAATCTCATAAAAGCTTTAAAATAAAAAACTGCATAACAAGCTGTTTTTTAATTATCTTGTGACAGCAGTTTCTGTTATCAAAACCAGAATGAAGAGTTTAACTTTGGTTTCTTTGGCCTACACATAAAGAGAGTCTCTTACGCATAGCCGGCTAATTTTGTAGGAGTTTGATCAGCAGCTGCAAAGTAGGTTCCCACACTTTATCAGCTTGAAATAGCCTAGGAATAACTTGCCTGATGGTAAATACTAGTTAAGAACACACAATAAACAGGTATAAACAAGCTGAAAGTGCACATTAAATGCTAAAAATTGTGACAGCATCGTTGGAGACACAAAATATTCACATGTTCATCGAGCATTTTAGAACTAAAGTATTTGACATCTTTATGATTCAAACAGTTCAACTTTAGAAATATTTTCCTTGCATTTCCACTCCCGTGTACCAATTTTTTAATTAAAAAAAATAAAAATATTAATGTTTTCTGTGTGAAATCTGCAATTTTCACACTTTGCAAAGTCATCCCAATGGTTGGCCCAACCCTGCTTATTATTTTATGAAAATAAACAATTCTGCTCAGTCATTTACTCAGAAAAGGATGGAAAGTGGGTTATTCAAATTGTTTTGTTTTCACAAACCTGCATAAATCGGGTCACCGTGACTGATCTGACAAAAGACAAATAGGAAAACTAATGAAAAGGAGCCAACGTGACCTATTTTTTTGTTATTTTGTGGAAAGAAGCAGTATTTAACCAAAGAACTAGAACTAAATTCTGAAACCATGTTCTTTGCTGCTGGCACAGTGGGGATGCAAGACAATGCTGTTTACCAAACCTGCTTGTGCGTGCCATTTGTCAACCAAGGTTTTCTCTTCTACAGTAGAACACACCTGACCTACTCATATGTTCAAAGGTAAGTGGTTAAGGGGTGGCAACGCATCTCCACACAAACCCCGAGCATTAAAATGCAGGGCATGTGTGGGAGTCAGGTGTGCAATCTTAAGATCTGAACTATAGGTCTTCTCTGTTGCAACATCTTGAAGGTCATCATAGCCTTTACATTGATTTCTATGCAAGTTTTCTTCTTAACTGTACTTGACTAAATACAAATAGGACTAAATAGTACCTTAAATAATACAAGAACTACAATGTGTCTCCACTGTACAAAATACTGATTAACTGAAAACTGACATTGCTCTTTTTAAGGGTAATTTTATAACTAATACCACATCACCATAGCAGTAGATTGTAAATAATAGAATGTCTAATATTGCAAAAACTAAACATATCTTTAGATAAATAGCTGAAGCTTTAAAAAGCCAACATACCACTGCTGCAGTCACCCGTCAGTTCTTCTAAGCACAATGACAGTTATTACTTTGTCTTGAGTTTATCTTACTCAAAGGGGGCTTGCGAGACAGCTTTCCTACATAATGGTGACACATTCTTGACCTTTAAGAGTTAATGCGATTGACTTTTACCAGCAACGACCAGACTTAAAAGGTTTAGCTGTTTTGGAAATTGATCATTTGAAGGGAAGAGAAAAACAACAAGCGGAGCAGTGGGAGTACAGAACAGGCCATGAGCTGTGAATACTGTTTAACCACAACAGTAGGGGAATAACACTCAGCTGAGGGGCCGTGAAGATATTAAGGCCTTGAAACTGACACTGTTGCAAAACATCAAACTCCAATTGGAAAGTTTTGTTCTAAAATCAAACATCCACTGTCTGAACACCTACACTTCCAAACTAGGTTGCTCCCTGCAGGTAAAGTACCCTCTTTCTTTTATGCCGTTATTAAAGTGATGAGTCTAACTGCTGGAAGAAATTTAAAATAACCTTTAAACTCAACTCTAAATATGACACAAAAACCTTTTATGCTGGCGGAGAGCAGTATGCGGTTTTTATAAAAGTAGACACCCCACCTCCCATATACATTTAGAGAATGCTTCAAAACAGCAGCCTAAATGTCGATACTTGTGCCTGGACACGTATGAAAATGGCTACCAGGTGACGAGACGTGCCCCCAGAATGACGTTTGGTGTTCACTTGTAGTTTCCTAATAAAACTGTTGAGCAAACAAAGCAAGACGAGGGTGTTTGAGGCCACGTTATCCTTTTGGATATCCGTTTTTCCTTTCTTTTCCTGAAAAACAGCTTTCAAATTATTATATTCTTCAAGGAGGGAGAATAGACGTTGTCTGCTGGAGTAAAGACAGCTCATGTTGTTTTTCAGGTGGTCAAGTCTTCATTTGCACAGATTTCATAGCAAGTTACTCCACAACTAAACTCTTTTGTCATCTCTTCCTTCTCTCACCCCAACTGGTCATGGCCTCCCCTCCCTGAGCCTGGTTCTGCCCGAGGCTTCTTCCTGTTAAAAGGGAGTTTTTCCTTGGGAGTCATGTGATTGGTGGAGTTTCTCTATATTATTGTAGGGTCTTTACCGTACAATTGAAAGCTCTTTGAAATCAAATCACTGTTCTTGTGATTTGACGCTTTAAAATTAAAACTGAATTGACTTGACAGCCATTGTAAAGTCTGCCTTTGTAAAGCTTTCTAAACTCTTAATGTTATTGCATTGTATAAAGAGGAAGGTACTCTGTAGCCTTTAAGGATTCCTGGTCTCAATCTCCTTGTTGTCTTGGGCCTTTCTGTCTGGAATTTGTGAATGCACAGATTTTATCCCCAAGTCCAAGGGTAACTAGGGTAACTAGGGTAACTGGTGACCCTAAATCATGTGTAGGTGTTAGGCAGATGAAGCGCTGTATAAATGTATGGTTAAGTGCTGTTTTTACTTTCAATTGCTTTAAATCGTCATTAAGACTAGAAAACATGTGAATGCCAGTCCACTAATCATGGAACCAAAGAGCAGTCTTCTACTGTGGATGTAATTCATTTGGGCCTTATATGCAGTAACTGTTTGTGTAAACACAAAGCGAGTTCTGGTACTGTTTTCAGCTCTCACCTGGTGTGTGGTGTGCTTTGAACTCCAAGAAGGTGGATGGATTTGAGTCAGAGAGGGTTACATATAATGAGCCTTTGAAATACTGGCCTTTTGATTTGGCTCATCTGTATCAATTCCAAGTTTCACATCAAGATCTAAACAAAATGAAAGAAATCCATAAAAAAATCCCATATTCTGGCATTTTAAGCTGCTCCAAAACAAATATAAAAATATCTCTGTTAAACATCGGACTTGCTTGTAAATGTATCTCAATAGAAGTTCTTTTTTAACATGCATCTTAACCTCCTAAGACCCGAACTCTTCCACAGTATGCATTTTTAATTTCTCTTTGATATTTGGGCATATTGGGGCCCGATGAATGTAAAAACAAAGAATTACCAGATTTTTTTTTTTACCTTATTTTTGTTTTTAAGAAGAATGAGAGCCACGTATGAGGATACTCGTTTAAAATTTTGATAGAACAGTAGCAGTATAATGTCCTCGTAAGTGGATATCAGGCTATGTAGGGCAAAATTGAGTATTTTGGTCCATATATGCGATGTCCACATATGTGGACGCCAGGTCCTAGGAGGTTAATGTTAATAACTGTTTAAATCTTCAGAACGTAGCTGTCAAAAGTTCTTCGTATGTGTTTTCGCTTTTTGTGCATTGAAAACTCTTATGGCGTGGAATATTTTTCAAAAAATGGATATCTCATCTTGGGAGAAACCTTTTCATATTTTCCACCCCGATGTTCCTTCGCCGTCTAGAACAGGTTATCACAACTTTCACAATCACTGGCAAGCATCCTCAAAATAATACACAGCCGTCTGATGGTTCGGAAAAATACGTCACTACAGTATCCTGTTTATTTTAACAAGGTTCGGTGTTTTGGCCAAAACCAGACTTCCGCCGTATATGACAATTAATCAGGGGGAGAATCTTTCCTATAAGATGATCAAATCTGTAGGCAGGACAGCACTCTGCTGCATGTTTTCTACAAATTAACTTTATTCTGTAACTCGAAGCAAGAAGTGAGAGTGACTTTTACTGAGTTACTCATCTCAAGTTCACGCTTGTCATTTCTGTCTACAGTAAAATAATTCAGGTTAGTCAACATCAACTTAGTCATATGACTTTCACTGTCTGAAACATTATTGGCATGTTGTGCTTTGCAGGATGCACTGCAGCTTATTACTGCACTGTATCGAAATCACCTTCAGTGAGATTTTCAAAACCATCGCTCTTCTATTTCTGCAGATTAGCAGCCTTGAGTCTGAAAACATAACTATAACCAGGAGATGCATTGTACATGCACCTCAAAAAATTAGAAAACTGTGAAAAAGCTCAATATTTTCCATCAGATATTAATGGAAGTTAAAAAATCTTTACATATTTTAGACTCTAGACTCTTTTTCTGTTGTAATATTGACAGACATGACATGTTGCTCAAAAAAACGTTTGAGTAAATTTCTACAAATCAAATTCAGTACATGCAAAACTATGTGGAAGATTGCTAATTTGGCATTTGTCCAGTTGTCATCATCACCTTCCACAAAGACGGTAAGCAAGAAAATGCCATTGCAGTTTGCAGAGTGCTGTTGAAACATATTAATGGAAAGTTGGCTGGAATGGAAAAGTGTGGTAATAAAAAGTGCACAAACAACAAGAATGCCTGCAGTCTTTGCAGGACTGTTATTAAACGCTGATTAACCCTTGGAGGGTCCTTAAAAAGACATCCACCTTTAGGCCTAAGGATAATAAATGTCCTTAAGACCCTCCAAGGGATAAAAACTTGGAAGCGCTTCGCAAGGAGCGGACTGAAGCTGGTGGCAGTACATCAACAGCCACGATGCACAAATATTTTGAGCAAAGGGGCTGCAGTCCTGATATCACAGCCACTCCTGAACCAGCAGCAGAACTGTAATACCTGTGCTGAGGAGAGAGAGAACTGGGCTGTTGCTCAGTGGTCCAAAGTCCCCTTTTCACGTCAATTTTTGCATTTGGAAGCCAGAGTGTCAAAGATGACTGGAGAGGGACAGAAACCACATTGTCGTTGCCTATTGGTGGTGGTCAGAGGGCCCGGTGGCGCCAGTGTCCGGCAGCCTCGCCTCTGTCAGTGCGCAGGGTGGCTGTGGCTACAATGTAGCTGCCATCACCAGAATGTGAATGTGTGTGTGAATGGGTGGATTACTGAACGTGTAAAGCGCTTTGGGGTCCTTAGAGACTAAGTAAAGCGCTATACAAATACAGGCCATTTACCATTTTACCATTTACCAGGTCTTAAATCTTCCAGGAGATTTAAAGATGCTTCCATTTCCCAATTAGCTTTAAGGGAACACAGACTTCCTTTTGTAGTAGGACCTGCCCACAAGGCCACAATTACTAGCAAATGGTTGCTGACCATGTTAGTATTGTATCTGATTGGCCAGTAAACCTGTGTTATCCATTCCATTTGGATAGATAAATGCCTGATCCAAAAATGAGAAGAGCACAAGGCCTTTATCAAAGCAGCTTGGATTGGTTGCCTCCATGCCTCACTGCACTGATGCAGGAACTCAATGTAAAGAAGTCCCAGTTAACTGCTTAGTGTATTTCACCTACACATAATAAAATTATGTTCATCTTTTAGAACACAATTACCACAAAAAAAAAAACGCTTTTTCACAATATTCTGATTCTTTAACCTGTACTAGGTGTATCCTAAATCACACTTGCACATGATTTGTATAATTCATATTTTTGTATTACCAGCCAAACTCTATGTTTTTGTAGAAAAAGACAACTCAATGAGTCTTATGTTTAAATAAAGGCTTTCATAATGACAATGTAACAGACAAATCATCTCTGATGAAATAGATTTATTGGTTTTGCAATTTTATAAAAGCGTGTGCAAAGATACAACATATTAAAATATTTCCATACAAACAAAACTAATGTTCCAAAAAAAGTTACAATACAAAGGTTCTAAGACACTGAGGTTTAATAAAGATTGGTCTTCTTCATTATCCGCAGGAACTCCTGCTCGTTGACCTCACCGTCCCCGTCTCGGTCTGCCTCGTCAATCATTTCCTGAAAGGATAATAAATGTGATGTAGCAAAGGGAAGGAAGTGAGAGCATCAAACTGGAACAATTCTCACACTGACTTCAGGTAACTTTGTGTTTCATGCATGGCATTTGACTGCAAAGGTTACCCAGGAAAACCCCACCTAAAATAATACGGTTACTACTATTTTACCATGTAAGAACATACCAACATTAGAGGAACTGGAAGATATGAGAAGAGAGACAATACGTTTGGTACTTATATAGAAATGTATTTATAGTGGTTCCTCTAAGTATGTATTGTTCTTTAAATAAAAAATTCTTGGCTTCTGGACATGTGGTATTACTTTACGGTTTGTACCACTTATACAATTTACTGTAGTAGAGGTACTACAATATTTTAAATATGAGGTAGCAAATTTAAAATCAGTCAAACCAGCAAAAGGATCCCACCTGACCCCTTCAGAATGAGCAACTTTTTTGTACTTTAGTATATTTAACAAAGCCAGCTGGGGTGGCTGTAGCTCAGGAGGTGCAGCAGGTCATCCACTAACTGGAAGGTTGGTGGTTTAGTCTGCAGGCCAAAGTATCCTTGTGCAAGATAATGAACAACAAGTTGCTCTCTGATGTGCTCATTGGAGTACGGCTGTATGTGGATGTTAGACAGAAAGAACTTGTGTGTAGGAAAAAAGAGCTTGTATGAGTGTGTGTTTGAATGAGGCATATAAAGTAGAGTAGAAAAGCGATGCACCGGTTCATTTACATATAAAAATGTTAATCTTTACACTATGAATAGTTACTGCAGAGTGACTTGCAGGCTCTCAAAGTACTGAGCAGCAAAGCAGTACGAAAAACTTTGTTCTTATTAATTCATTTCATTTTTCCCAGCATTACTGAGCCCTTATCAGTTTTTATGTAAAGGAGAAAACCATATTGTATTTTTCAGAACTGAAAAACGCTCTGTTAAAAATTAAATCAGTTTACACCCACTACAAATATCACAATCTAAATTCAAAATCTTGTTTTTGTTCAAGATGGGGTTTTTTTTCTCAAAACCCAACTTTTTGAACATCATTACCTCAGGAATCATTTTCAATAACCTGATAATACAAAATGCAATTTTTAAATGATTATTTGTTTTTAATTTAATTAAGGGAAAAAAAGCTATCTAAATTAACTGGTCCTACCACCCTTGGCAGTAGAAATTGCAATCAAGCATTTGAAATAACTAGACAATCAGCCTTTCACATCACTGTGGAGGAAGTCTGTCCTACCGTTCTTTGCAAAACTGTTTTAATTCAGCCATATGAACAGCCTGTTTAAGGTCATGCCAAAGCACCTTATTCAGTCGTGACTTGTGTTTTCTTTGTTGTTGTTTTTTAAGCCAATCAGAGGTGAACTTGCTGGTGTGTTTCAGATCATTGTCCTGCTGAATAACTTGAGTGTGCATACGTTCCTGGCATGAACTGATGGTCAGGCATTCTCCTTTAGGATTTTCAGGTAGAGAGCAGAACTCAAAGTTCCGTCAATTAAGTCAAGTTGACCAAAGCAGGCCCAGATGTTGCTACAATGTACTTTTTATAAAATGCTGTTTGTTTTATTGTAGATGTAGCGAGATTCAAGCCTTCCCAAAAAGTTCAACTTTTTGTGTCGTCAAGGTCTTGGAGATCAACAAGACATTTTTGGCAATTGTGAGAATAACCTTTATGTTCTTTTTGGTTAGAACTCACTCTTGGAACTTTCTTTAGATGTTGTTCTCGGTTCTTTGTGACCTTCTGGATGAGTCATCAATTCATGATTTAAAAAGGGGAGGGGGGATTACTTCTTCACACAGGGGCAGGTAGGGGCAAAACTGTAAGTACTCCAAAGTAATGAAGAATCTCTATACCTGCAGCTCTGCATCTGTGAGGTTTTCACCCAGCTCCTTGGCAACTCTCTTGAGATTTTTGAATGAGATTTTTCCCGTGCAGTCATCATCAAAGAGTCGGAAAGCCTTCAGTATTTCTTCTTTTGTGTCTTTTTCACTCTGTTCTCATCAAAAATGAATACACATATATATATATATATTACAAATTAAAAACATGCAAAATGTTCTTTTTTAAATTTTGCTCCAAATGCAGTCCAATATGAACATAATTTGCAGAATGTGTGTAGGAAATGAAGTGAAGCACATTTTACAAAGCACAGACATAAAGAGTGTGCATGCAGTATATTTTATAACTCTTGAATGGAAATATGTTTTGTAATGTAAAGAACAGGTGGCCACACTAAATGTTATCTATAGTTTTTTCAGTCTGAAGAAAACCTTTTTCTATGATCTACTGTTACTGTGCTATTTGTTTAGGACACAGGAAAGCCATAAAGGTGTTGGTGACTTTGCATGATGTATTTGCTCACTGTAGCAGGACCCATGCTAATCAGATGCCAATCAGGCACCTGATTGTCAACATCTGAGGTACCAGAAGCTCCAACAAGAGTCAAAAGCAGAACAAGCACTGGCAGAGATGATTTGGCAAGTTTTTCATGGGTCAACCCATAAATACACTAGCCTTACAAATGTGTCTGTGTGAGAGACAGGGAGGGGGAGAGAGAGAGAGAGAGAGAGAGAGAGAGAGAGAGAGAGAGAGAGAGATACTATATCTAGCAAATTCTTGCAATGTTTAGAATTGCTCCAAAACAACAGCTGTCGAAACAACACACAAATGCTTGATTTAGCCCCAACAGTTTTAAGGACAGTGCTATTTTCAGACAGTAAAACTTCCAACTTAACTGCAGAGAAGTTTTCTTGTTCCTTTCGGTAAAACACTCACCATTTTCAGTGTCATAATACTGAGAAAGTCACCAAAGTCAATCGTTCCAGAACCCTCTTTATCAATGTCTGCAATCATTTTCTTGATCTCTTCTTTCTTTGGTTCAAACCCCAGAGCTCTCATGGCAACCTGTGACACAGATAACAGTAAAGAAAACTGAAGCTGCTGCGGTGTTGTGACCGCGGTATGTTTTCCTTACTTAACTTTTATCACTACACATTTAACTAGAAAGCCAACCTTGAGCTCCTTCACGTCTATTGTTCCAGTTCCATCTGTGTCAAAGAGATCGAAAGCCTCTTTAATTTCTTGCTTTTGCTCCTCAGTCAGGTCGTGTTTTAAATCCGTCTTTTTCCTTTGGCTAGCCGAGGAAGTTGGTTTCCGGTAACTTGAAGCCTATGAAATACAATATTAATACATCACAAAAGCTACCTATTAAGTTACTAAGTTAACAGCAACGACACTCGCGGTACATATCTTATTTTAGGTCATTATTGTGCTAACTAGCTTAAATGCTGTTCCGGGAGACCGAAGAGAATCAAGTTAAAACTAACGGCTTTTTATGGCAAATCTCACAGCTTCTTAAAATGTTCATTAAACATTCGTTTATAAAGTTACTTTACATAATTAAATAAATGCACACCATTTGAATAAATGATCCCGACGGGGAAACCTCTGTTTTGTTTGATGGTCTGATGTCAACAAATCAGGTAGCAACGACTGTGTAGTTTTTCTGTGAACAGACATCCGAGAGAGCCAATACAAATGATGAAAAGCACGCTGACGAAACCTGATTAACCAATCACAAAAAATAGTAGGCGGGTTAAAACAGTTTCAGCCAATCATACGGACAGTTTGTTGTCGCCCAGCAACTAGGAAACAAAGCGCATGCGCAGTGTTTAATCGGTTGAGCTGGACCAGGCGTAATATAAATGCCTCGTACACTATTGAAATAAGGTAAAAGTATACTCATTGAGGATAGTAAAAAGTTTGTATTACAGCGTCATTTTGCAGAGTCATTTCTGGGGGGGGGGTTTCTGCTCTTGGATTAAGGTACAGACACGGGCAGTTTTGAAGTAAACTTGTCTCTGGTTTGTTAGCTTAGCTTGTAAGCTGACTTGTAAGATGCTGAGTGAAGTGCAGGCATTGACAAAACTCGCTGCTAGTGTTGGAGGAATAATTAATACCCGTCAGTTTTTCATGAGTAGCAATGTTTTACCTCTAAAAAATATGTGGGTTGCACCCATTATATCTGTCAAATGTCAATATGCTGATTGCCATCTGTCTGCAAATACGATTTTCCATTTCGTAGTGCTTGGCTGTTAACTGCTTAAATCTTAAAAGACACGTGATGAGGGGGTGAAAGGCCTATGAACCGTTTGGTTTCCCTGGACAAAAAAGGAAAAAAACAAAATATCAAACTTGCCAAGCTGCTATTTTAATTGCTGTTATCAGAGTAAAACGAGTTTTGTTTTTGTTTTGTTTTTTGTTTTAAAAAAAAAAAGCCCACACTGACAGTGAAAACAGCTCAGTTGACAGTGATGACTTAGGTTAAGGCTTCTCTGCATAAAAATGATTGAAACCCTTAATTAACTAGATTAGAACTTTCTACAATATCTGTAAAGTTGAGACGTCATGCCATTAAACTAAGGAAAACAGTTGTTCCGGCTAGGTTAACCAGAGAGTTTACAATCAGTAAGCAATAGTACGGCTCCAAGCCGAGAAAGAGAATTACAGATGTGATGTTCACTTTGAACATGTTGATGGAGACATGTGGAGAAGGTCAAAACAGTTTCAGGCTGTCTTTGTAGCTCCAGAAAAAGCATACAATAGGCTGCCATTAGAGGAATTGTGGTACTGCATGAGGGAGTGAGTAGTGTTAGAGAAGTATCTGAGGCTGGTGTAGGACATTTATGAGGATAGTGATGAAGTTTGAAGTAGGAGTGACAGATGGGTTTACAGTGGGGGTGGGATTACATCAGGGATCTGCTCTGAGCCCATTCATGTTCACAGTGGTGATGAACAGGTTGATAGATTAGGTCAGGCAGGAAAAGAGGAAGACAACATATAGGTTCATGGATGTAGTGAAGGAGGAGATGCAGTGGGTTGGTGTGACAGAGGTAGGGATAGGTAGAGATGGAGCCAGGTTATGTGCTATGGCGACCCCTGAAGGGAGCAGGCAAAAGAAGTAGTAGAAGATGGTCTATCATAAAAAAAAAAAAGAAACAGCATAAAAACAAATAGGGCCATTAAAAAAAGCTATTCCCGCAATCCCCCCTCCCCCGCGTCCTTTTAGTTTCTTACAAATCTTTTTTCATTTGAGGATTACAGTACCATACTTTATAATAAATTTGAATTTCCAGGAGGTGTGCTCTGTGTCAGATTGGTGACCTCTTCAGGGTGTACCTCACCTCTCACCCTATGGTAGCTGGGATCAGCTCTTGCCCTCTCGCGACTCAAATAAGGTTAAGCAGAAGAGAATGGATGGATAGAAAAGGAAATCTGAGGGCCTATACTTAGTTACTGTGCCTTGTGACTTATTACTTTAAAAACACAAATCATGTTTCCGAACTGAAGCAAATGTTTGTGAGGACTTTTTTTTTGTTTAGAAATGACCAAACTTAAAAATTTTCTTTTACATTTCACAGTCCTCGAATGATGTTGGGAAGTACAATCATAAACCATCGACAGCATATTGGACTGCAGAAACTGTTGGCGCTGGCAGGAATCTCACATTCCTCTTTGGGCCCTTGTATAAAGTACAAGTTTATCCAAGATGACAAGAGTGGGGAGTCTGCTCTTGTGTGCTCGTGTTTTCGCATTATTGAGACCATGGAGCTGACCTGTGCAGTGGGTCAGCTTGTTTATGAGACTATTCAAGCCCACCAGAAGGTCTACCATACAGGGTCGGGATGCCTGCTGTTCCTAGCGGGGGCCTGGAGCCGTGTTGCCCTGGACTGTCTTCAGAGAGGAATTTCAGTAGGGAACATAATCTCAGCAATGTCTGAAGGGATGGATGTATGTCTGGATGCTTGCAGGAAATGTGCCGTTTCAATTGATGGTCTGGGCGTGACATCGTTAGAGAGTTGTGCTGTGAAAGTGTCCAAGAAACCCATCAAACATTCATCGCCTGCATTGTGCAGCATGCAGGGAACAATAAAGTTTGACGTCAAGACTCTGACCGTCGATGAACAGAGAAAAATAAAACTCAGCAGACATTTTTGTGAGATGAAGTCTGAAGATGTCTCCAAAGTATTGCTACAGTCTCCTCAGCCTAAGCTTCCTGACATTGTACACATTGCTGAGGGACTGAGTCATGGTTGTGATGATGCAATGAAACTTGTAGTCGAAGTTATTCGGATGCAGTCAAAAACTAATCAAGAAGATGTGAGCTATCCCATGTTTGACATTACTAAAGTGGTGACTTGTATGCTCCCTGGTTTACCAGAGGATCATGGGTGCGTTGTATTTGGCTGTGTTGTTCTTTTATCTGCTGAACAGGCTACAGTCGCTCATCACTTAAAAGAACAACAACTGAAGGTTGTTCTCATAAATGGAGATTTATCACATACTTACCGCCATCTTGGCTTTAACAGGCCGACAGGTATGCACCGTGTGAGGGATCATATAGATTTTTCGAGTTCGAGCAAAGAGGACGAATGGGTGGAACGGACTGTGACACATCTGCTGAACCTGGAAGTGAACCTGATACTAATCCATGGGCACGCTTGTGAAAAAGTGATTCAGCACTGTTTTAGGCATCGTATACTTGTAGTGGAAAATGTGAAGGCTTCTGTTTTGAAGACATTTGCCAGCTTGTCTGGAGTTGTTCCGGTAACCTTTGCTGCGCAACTGAGCAAGCAAAATGTTGGCACTGGGGCAAAGGTTGCAATATGGAAAGACCTCAGTAGCCACGAGAAGTACTCCCTGGCTGTGAATATCTCAACTGGCAGCAACAGCAGGCTAGTTACAGTAATCCTTACGAGCTCTATACATGGAAAGCTTCAGGCCCTGGAGGACCAGTTTTGGGCCTGTGCTTATCGCTTACACTATGCACTAAAAGACAGAGCTCTTCTACCAGGGGCGTGTGGGACAGAAATGCTTTGCATTCATCACCTACAAAAGCGAGTGGAGTATCATGTCATGTGTCACAGAGAAAAGAACGGTGAGAGAGGAACCAACCACTACAGGCGTGTAGTGTTGGACCTCATGGCAGATGGTTTAATAGATTACATATCCACTGTAATGGTTAACACTGGAAGAATTTCAAAAGTCAAAGCTAGGACTGAGGTGTGCCAACAACTGCAGGACTATCTAGGCAATGCTGCAAAGTCCCCACAACTTTTCTTAAACAGTGAATATCAGGATAATGAAGTCTTCACAGCACCAAAACCCAATGAAGCACGAGCAGTGGAAATCTATGATAATCTGAGCGTGAAACAGGAAGCATGGAGGAAAGCCTTAGATCTTGTTTTCTTGGTTTTACAGACGGATGCAGAGATTATCACAGGCGTAGACCAAAAAACTGAGATTGCCGAGAACAGTCTCTTGCTGTTGTGATGTTCATGTAGAATATTCAGCCAAAAGATTTCACTCTACAAGACAAACTGTTTTTTTCTTCCCAAACAAAGTGATTTGTAAAATATGCTGTAAATAATACAGTGAAGGGCTTTTGAAAAATGTTATTACCTATTTTCTGCCACAAGGGGGAGACATCCTCTTTCTGAATGTCTTCAGAATTCTTTCTAAAACTTATATATTAAAAAAATAATAAATAATAAAGTTATGTTGAATAACCAAGAAATGTAGTTTTTCTTATTTTTAATTAACTTGGCCTTGTGTCCTCTGTCATTATGATTCTCTATTCTCCCTGGAAATTCCCTTAAACATTACTTTTTTTTTATAATAAAACAATCATGACTAACCTGATCTAGGTTATACATATCCTTGAACACATGTTGACTTCGCACACATTTCAGGCCGGGAAAAATACTGCTACATATCCAAACCCACAATTAGATTTCCTGCTCGAGGGCTGAATTTTGTTGTGCTTCTTCGTCTTCGAGCACTTGCTTAATGATATTTGCCTAAGTTTCATTAAGTGTCTCCAGTTTGGCTATTACTGCTCACATTGAATGCTGACACTGCTTCTGTGCCAGGTGCGGCTCTTTTATGACTTTCTGTGTCATAATTGGCATGGTTGATGCAGAAGGAACACCTCCAGACAGAGTAAATGTTTTGGGTTAAGTCTTACTAGTGTCTGTGCTTTAAAATACATTTTCAGAGGTGATGTCAGTTATTCGAATCCTGGAAATCTTTCATTAACACTTTCCCTCCTACATAATCACCTAAAGGTCACATAAATATTTTGAAAGTCTGCAGTTTGGGCAGCTTTTAGAGTACTTATACATATACAGAAATTTGTAATAGGCTATTCATACAATACCTATATTAAGATAAGTAAAAATGATTACGACTTGGAAAATTCAAGAACTGCTCCCAATGCACTGTTCAATTTGGTTGGTGTCTTGAAAAATTTCCCTTTTTTGCATGTTGTGTTTTAGAGGTGACGGTTTCAATGACTTGCGTGGTCTTCCATTTCCTCTGAGGTCACAGAGAGCAAAGCTCATTACACCCTAAAAATAGTTCAGTGAAATAAAAGTGTTACAAAGGTTTTACGGTGGAGACGGAATAGTCTTGACTCAGACATCATTCAGTGTTGTTGCAGCATTGAGAGGGGAGGGCATGACATAACGTAACACACACAACACTGGGGAGGAAGGTTGGAACGCCAAAACTGGTGACACATCCGAGAGTTCAGGGTGAGTCCACCTCCTTTCTGTCTGCACGAATCACTTAACAAATTTATATAACGTAAAACTTAAAGGGCTCTCTGAGAGATGATTCAGATAGATGGAGTATTTATTCTGGGCAATGACAAGTAGGAAATGAAAAAACTTTAAATATAAAATTATGAGGAGAAAGGCCAGCTGAGGCATTTTTTAAATATAGTTTAACATTTTTTTAAAAAGTGTGTCACAAGTTTTCTCAGAAGAGTGGCTGGCATTTCTCTTAGAGATAGGGTGAGGAGTTCGGCCATCCTATTGTAAGCTGCTGATTACAGCCTCGCAACAAGCGTGCCAAATGAGCAATTCTTTATGCCACTGAAGTAAATGAACTGAAGCTGAATGTTGATCATCTTGCTACAAACCTTCGCTCTGAGCATTCATGTGGATATTCTCTGGCATATATCATATTCTCATATCATATATCAGAGCTTCCCTCACCCTCAGTGGCAATGACACCCCCTGACAGCAGCAGACTCCCTACAGCAGGATATAGTAGGATACTGAACTCTGCCACACCACAAAATTGTTCAAGAGCAGTTTGAAATATAAAAAAATAGCCCAACATGCTAATCCTGCCTATAGGCGCTGCAGATCCCATCTAATAAAGCTTCAATAGAATAAACTGGAAAAGCCTGATTCATGGAGGCCCCATGCCATAACCCACAATCCTGAAAGAACTGTAGCCAGTGTCCTGTGCCAAACCATGGATTATATGCCAGATACTACAAGACACCGCAGTGGTACTGTGTCCTTGCTATGATGGATGGGAGCTGTTTTGTGCCAACGTGATATCTGGCAGGTTTTTATTTTATCACTGATCAGTGTATCCATATGTCATCATTGTACCTCTCATATATTTACCTTTTCCCAGTGAAAAGATATTTAAATAAGTATTCAGGATTGTGACAAATGCTGATTTGAAAATTCCTATATGGGCAGCAATAGTTAAGGTAGAAGGTTGGTGGATCCCTGATATGGATCCCTGATGCCAAAGCATCCAAGGGCAAGATGATAAAACCCGACTTGCATCTGTGTGTGTGTGTGAATGTTAGAAAGCACACAGGTATAGATAAGGCATTATATAAGTACTAGTCAATTTACATCCTTACTAGTCCCCTGGCTGTGCTGTGTATGTAGAAATTAACATTTGAAAAATTGTGTAAAAGTGTAAAGCCTGAAGACTGAGCTTATACTTGAGGTAAGGTGAGGTTAATGTTATAACTCTTATGTCATTACTTTATCTGTACAGTACTATACAGGTATAAATGTGTATCACTAATAATATTTGGTAGATATTTTTTTCACTGCATGTGTATATAATATTTGCATTTAGCCGATACTGTCAAACAAAAACTTTTTGTTAGCATGATGTCAACCAGGAGCACAGCTGACTTTCTACTGGTCCCACACAAGCTTCAGATGTGGTAACGTTTGCCCAGAAGCCCAGAACAGTAAGTGCCTATTTTGACAAATGCATGACCTCCTCCTGGATAAATAACTTTCATCACTCATCATCCAGGCAGCTGGTTTGGAGAAAATTGAGAATAGCAATTAAAATAACTGGCTCGTGACGGTTTCTTTTTCATCTACTGGCATTTCTACTTTACATTGTTATTTTTTTCACTTATGAATAGCACTTACTGAATCACTACCAAGATGCCTCTGTTGGCTTTCTTATTATGTCCCTCTTTTCCTGCTCTTGAACAGACTGGATGAATGAAAACACTGGTTCTGTTCACATGGTTGCTGTGGTTCTTGGCTCTCCGAAGGGTCTCAGAGTCCAAATTGCACGTCCCCCTTCTTTGCCCTCCTCTCCTTTCCCGACTTCTGCTGGGTTGGTTGGTTAAATCAGTGAGCATTAGTGGGCGTGAGCATGTGTGTGTGTGTGCTGGTGCTCCTAGGGCGCATGCGAACTGAGGCCCAAAGGGGAAAGCCTTCCACACAGATCTAAGCCAGCTGCCCTGCTCTAAACACTCCATTGCAAGAAGAGTAGAAGAAAGAAGCGACCTGCATGCATCCCCCCTACCAGTGTGCTCAAAGTACACTGGCAAAGCAGCTGCCAGCTCTACAAACGGCAGACAAGCGTCTACAAATTGTAGATTTCGATCTTGCATAGGAGTCCGTAGAAGTGTTACTGCTTCAAATTCTCAGGACTCAAAGGGCACTTGCTGCCCTGAGAGGGGGGCCTTTCAAGCAAGCTGACCTCTGAGGTTAAGCAGAATCAGTTTGTGTGGAGGAGGGTAAGAGGGTACAGGCAGCAGTTAGCAGGAGGTGAGAGGCCACGGTGAACTGCTGCACTTCTCAAGAAGGAGACGACGTCCCTAACCCTGATGGCCACGGGAGGAATCGCAACACTTCCCGCTACACCTGAAGACGGCGGCAGCAGCGGTTTTCCTCCTGGGAACTTCAAGGACCCTAAAAGGCTGTACTGTAAAAATGGTGGCTTCTTCTTGAGGATAAAATCTGATGGAGGAGTGGATGGAATACGAGAGAAAAACGACCCCCACAGTAAGTTCTTCCAGTCTCCTTCTTTTCACTTTACACAGTACACAGCACTTCTTGAGTTTCTGTTTTTAACATGCAACAGAGAAGAAAGAGCGAAGCAAAAAATTAAATAACGTGGATAAATAATAGGGGGATTATGTGAATTTTCCATTTGAATTATGATTATTCTCCACTTGCTAACACTAAGAACCAAATGTGTGTAGGTCACCTTCTGGAAAGTATAATAACCTCAGTACTAAAGAGTCACGCCTCAGTTTTTATTCATCAGTGGGACTTCTGATGGAACATGCTTAATGTTTTTAGTGCTCCAAATGAAGATCACCATGCTGAGTCACACTGTTAACTGTATATTTTACGTCACAAAAGACAGCAAATCTGAGAGTTCCTGCGTCTTTGAGGCTGATGAAGTTATTATAAAAACCTGTTAAAAAATTATCTTACCCTCAGACCAGTCATCTGTGCTGACATTGAATTAATATTTATTCTGAGCGCCCCATTTTTTAAGAAGGGGTAAACATTAACGTGATTACGTTAATGGACAACTGTAGCATTCCTCAGTGCGTCACTGTCACTGATTAAATGTGCCCTAAGCTTTTGTAAATAGGAGGGGAGGAGAGGAACATGAAATTTGGATTTTTCCTTGGAAAACACATGCTTGGATGCTTGGAAGTGTATTGCACAAGGTACAGTGTGACATTTCAAACAAATGCCTGATGCCAGTTCAAGGAGTGAGAGGCTATTTATAGGATAATTCAATTGCGTTTAATTATACTTCATTATAAGTGTTTATGAAATATCCGGAGAGATTCATCTTGTAGACGACATGAGAAAGTTTAAGGAAGGAATATATTCACACTTCGTCATACAACGGCCATTAGTATTAATCATTTAGCTTTTTACCAAAATAGTTCTTAAGAGTTATTATGACTTGAGCTGTGCTTCCTCAATGGCCCTTTTGTTAAGGGTAGGATAGAGTTGCCAGCTTCTACAGACAAACCTGCCAGTAAGAATAGGAAATGTTATGAAAAATGTTACCTAATATATCCTAGGGTCCTCGAGTAGAATTTCCATGCTAATGTAGATGGGACTCTTCTCCATCCGTTTGTGTTTTGTGTAAGAGACTTTTGATCCAAGAACCTTGGGGTCAATTCTGATACAAACTGGACACAACAGGAGACCCCAGAGCACACTTTACAGAAGCGGGGATCAGGTTCCCGCCATTCACAAAAATTTCAGCACATAATCTATCCAAGGAACATCGAACACACCACAGTACATTCAGACCAATTGCTATTTTTTTTTTTGCCTCTTTGATCTGTAACATGAATCACCCAAACAGCTAGCTTAATGATAGACAGATGTGTGTCTACCCTTAATGGGGACTCATTCTAAAGAGATCCCCTATTCACCTCAAGGGGCCCCTGGATTCTTTTTGATTGCTGAGCAGATATTGGATGAAGAAAAACAATGTCTCTTTTTAAAAAAGGGAAATAAAAAAATAAATCATTTAAGATCATGAATAAGCAATCTTACAGCCTGCAGGTACTATGTAATGCCATACTGTGTTTTTTGGTAATTAAACTTAACTATTTGTGCTAATAATAATGTTTCATTCATTCATGGCACATGCATCAGTCAGTGCCATGAATACAGAGGAAACCACAGCAACAAATCATTTGCCCGCAACTGAGGAAGCAGGACCTGATGTTTGGATGTAATGCTTGAAAGATGTTAAACGCAGCATAATTAGACTCATTGTCTTCATTTAAAATGCAAATAAAAAATGGGGAAAAGAATATATACATATTACTGAATTTATCAGGTAAAAAATGTTATGAGTTTAAAAAAAACTACATTTGAGTTTAAGGCTTGCGCTTTTAAGTAAGACAGAGACTTCACTGGCCCAAAACTTTAGTATTTGATAGAGAAAACTGGCATACAAAATATGACTTTATGCATTGTTTTAAAGTAACTGTCTGTTTTTACAGGATTCATAAGTTATGTCACAGGAAGTGTTTGATTTTGTGGTGGTTTGATTTTGTACCGCTTACCTGTATGGTCCAGAGGCAAAGAAACAAAACCCAAATATGAGAGCATGCCAGGTATTTGGCATACTTGCCTGACTCTTAGTTCTCTCAGCGGTGATTTTCCCAGTGGCATGTCCCTGTTTTGGCACATAAGCTCCCTTAAGGAAAGGAAAGTAAGAAAGTTAAAATGTCTATTAATATAAGAGTCAGATATTTTGTCAGGAAAATCCTGCAACTTAAAGCTCATTGACTTTAAACATAACCTTGTCACATGGTTCAAATGGTGTGTGGGCTTGTTTATGAGAAAAAGGAAACCTTTAATCAAGGTTTCCTTTTTCTTAATTGTTTGTTAATTTAACAGCATTTTCGTTCCTCTGTTTTATGCCTCTTGTCTTTTTGCTCGTTGCAGTTCAAATGTTGAACTGCACCTGCAGCTGTTTCTCTAACAGCTCACTGTTACACTTGCTGTGATTTAATGAAGAAATTCATTTTTTTTAAAAGTCAGCAGTCACTCTTACACTTTAATTAAACGTCCCATCATTAAACAACAACTTGCTCTCTGTCTCTGCTAATTCATCTTCAGTAAAGCTTCAACTCCAGGCGACCTCAGTGGGAGAAGTGGTCATCAAAGGGATTTGTTCAAACCGATATCTGGCAATGAACAGAGACGGACGACTGTTTGGAGCGGTGAGTGACTTGGATCGGTCTTTCCATCAACAAAGCTTGTCCTGTTTCTGTTCCATAAAGGATCTTGCTAATCTGTATGAAACAGACTTGATTAAACTCACAGCTCTGTGACAAGAAGCATTAAGGTTGCAGTGTTTTGGAAACCAAATATTTTCCAGTACTGTGACAAGAAATCCTCCCATTCTAAAAATAATTAAGTTTATAGCCTCTCGCACTGGACTCATCAGAACATTCAAATTATAATAGTAGACCACTGTCGTGTGTGTGTGTGTGTGTGTGTGTGTGTGTGTGTGTGTGTGTGTGTGTGTGTGTGTGTGTGTGTGTGTGTGTGTGTGTGTGTGTGTGTG